CTGCTGAGGCTGACAGACCCAAGGTCAACAAATAAAATGGCACAATCCCAATGTTACCAAACCACATGGCAGATCGGCAGAGCATGGCAGGCTGCTGAACAACGACACAGCTAACAAGCAGGGTTCAAGTATACCACAAGCTAGAGACCGTTCCCCAAGTCTTCTCTTTATATATAGGAAGCAGACCACATCCCTAAGGCAGCTACTCAGCTGCTCCCAGTAGATTCCACCATGGAGTTGATTATCAGTCTCAGCATGGAGAATACTACATCTAGCTTCCCAGCCACTCAACCAGACCCAGCCAAGATGACACACAAACTCAACTACCACATTTACCTTTGAGGAGAGGATTCAGGGTGGAAAAGAATTTTATATATTTTTTATAAGTTTTGAGTTTTTTGCCATATAGATATATTTGTCATCTGTGTATAAATTTCTGTGGCAATTGAAGAATGGCTCTTTTTCACTTTAATCTTTTATATTTAAAATACCTGAATAAATGTTATTTTAAAAGTCTTTTATTTTCAGGTGGTTTAGGTTTAGGAAAGAACATTCTACCCCTTAACAAGTCACTGAGGTATGTCCATCACAAATGTTAAGGTGAAGCTCAGCTCGCTTGCCTTTATACCTTCAGGCTTTAAAGAATCTACCTATGTGTAGCTATGCCTTTATACTATTTCTGGTTGGAGGAAATTTCACACATGAATGGTGATCCTTTACAGTGCTGGTTTTCATCATAAGGAAGTTCTCATCTATGTGAAAGGAAAGTTGAAGGTGACTCTCCAGAAGAAGGCAATAACAATGACTAAACTTGCATCATCACTCCTGGACTAGAAAAGCCAAAAGAATTGCCCTCAAGGGAGCCTGTTGTTTTTAGCAAAGGATTAGATTTCCACTTTACTCTGCCCTCATTGAGCTGTTTTCAGCAACAACCCCATTATGGATTGAATTTTGTCCCCAGAAAAGATATGCTGGTGCTTGCAAACATGATCTTGTTTAGAATAGTGTCTCTGAAGATATTATTAGTTAACATGAGGTCATACTAGAGGAGTGTGGGTCCCAATCCAATATGATCAGTGTCCTTATAAAAGAGAGGAAACAAAGAGATACGAAGGGAAGATGGCCATGTGCAGACAAAGACAGAAATTGGAGTGATGCAGCTGCAAGCCAAGGAATTCCAAAGATTTCTGGGAACCACCAGAAGCTAGAAGAGAGGCAAGAACCAATGGTCTCTCAAAGCCTCCTGAAAGAACTAACCCTGCTGACAATTTTATTTTGGACTTCTAGCCTCCAGAACAGAAGACAATACATTTCTGATGTTTTAAGCTTCTTATTTTGTGGTACTTTGTTTCTGAAGCCATAGGAAACTAATATAGCTCCCCATCTCCCACCCAAGAGTTGGCAATGTGCCCATTTGAAGTGTCTGAGAACCATCTCTAATTGGCTGCTTGAGTAGAATGAAACAGCATTTTTCCCCTAGCTCCTTTCTATTGTTTTTCTGCTAACCTGGACATAACTCTGATTCTATGACACCACAAAGTTAGATCATTATGTGACACCACAAAAATTAGATCATTATGGAAAAGTCAGCATTATGTGAAAATGGAAAATGACCACATCAGATCACAAAATGGAAGATGATTACATCATTACATAACTGCCAAACTACTGAGAATCATGGCCCAGCCAAGTTAACACATACCCTTAATCATAATAGCCAGAATTACTTACTCTTGCCTTACACTATGGTATTCATTACAGCAGTGGATTGGTAGTGGGTAAGGCAGTTGGCTGATAACCAGAAGGTCAGTGGTTGAAACCCCACAGCTGCTCCATCGAAGGAAGATGAGGCAATCTACTTCTGTAGAAATGTACAGCTTTGGAAACCCAATGGGGGTCACTGTAAGTCAGAATTGACTCGATAGGCTTTAACTATGTTGATAAATGAGGAGTGGGTATACTCACAAGGATGCCTAGATGCACATCCATCTAACTCCTGATTTTCCACTTGTGTATTTTACAGTATTCAAAATAGTCAACAGGTCTATGCTGGAAATCAAACAATTTACTTGTAGCATTAGGCATTGCCCTGCTGTACTATGTTTTAACCCTTTGGTTGCTGGATCAAAGTCCAGGGAACAGAGAAATGGCATATTCCAACTAACATCAGCTCTGAGAATGATTTTCTGGCTTTAGAGTCAAAGAAACATAATTCCACAATCCAAATTTCCCACTTATTATCTGTTATAGCAAGTTACATAGTACCTCTGCTGGTCACGGCCCTCATCTGTGAAACGAGTTAATAAAATATACCAACTAATAGTACCACCTTTGTAGGATTGTGGTGTGGATTAAATGAACCAACCTATGGAACATTCCTTGAAAAGTGCTTGCCACAAACTGATGCTCAGTCAGTGAAAGTAGCAGCAGTCATTGTTGCTCACTATTATCATTAAATGATAATAAATGGTTAAAAGCTGTGGATAGCTTGCCTTTGTATTTTCCTTGTATTCTGATAGTAATTACAGTGGGTCATAGGAGGTCTTGGGTGGTGGTATTGTCAGGTAGCTACCCTGGATGAGGAGGGATGCTGAAAGACATAGGTAGAGTGGGTAGGCTTTGTTCGTGGGACTAGAGCTACAACAAAAACCTCCCAAGTCTTAGACTGTAGCAGCCACAGGCTGCTCCTGATTTATGGAAGCTCACATTTTTATTTGACACATTAATTGTGAAGAAGCCTAGCTGCTGGTTATTCTTGTGAGAGATATGAGTGGCAGACTTAAACCTTTTATGCTATGCATAAGAGATATGCTACATAGCCATTTCTCTGAGTCAATTTGCCTGCTTTTGGAATTCTCATGCACTGTGCTCATAACCCACTGCTGTTGAGTCTATTCTTACTCATAGTGACCCTATAGGACAGAGAAGAACTGACCCATAAGGTTTCCAAGGCTGTTAATCTTTATGCAAGCAGACTGTCTCATCTTTCTCCTGCAGAGTGGCTGGTGAGTTCCAACCACTGACTTTTGGGTCAAGCACCAAGCACTTCAAATGCTGTGCCACCAGGGTTCCATGCATTCTACAAATCATGTTTTGGACATCCATTGGGTCTAATAATAGGACTCTTTGTGTACAGTCTGTCCCGCAGTATAGATAACAATATGCCATCCATACCCAGCCTAAGGATAACTACCCACCTCTTTACAGTATCCCACTCTAAGTAAAACACAGCTTTTGTTTTCATTTGTTTTACACCTGCTCTGCCATTCACAATTCATTGTTACTGTTGATATTCAGCTACCTGCAAACAGCATCTTGTGTCATTGGTGTGAGAGTCACGATACCTTACTGAATATTTTTCTTCTGGATCTTATATTGATTCCTTAACTGTGGGTAAAGCAAACTGATTAAGGGGTGAATGTTTTAATAGGATATTTCTCACATTAGTTCAAAGCAATAAAATGATATGACTTTTTTAGTTGCTTACTTTGATACTGTGGAGTATCTCAGTTGTGCCCTTGAAAATCAAAGGTTCACATGGTACTTTGGTGAATCAAGGGAAAAAGCAGAAATGGATGGAAAAATGAAGTAGTTTCTTTAACCTCACATTCCAGATATATTAAAATTTCATTTATTAATTATCACATTTCCCCTAAACATTGCACACCCTTTTAGGAACTTTCCTAAACTAATATTTGCACACCTAACATCATTTCATCGTGAGCAAGATTCTGGGCAGAGTCTGTGGGGATCTGGTATTTTAAAAGAAGCCTGTGAATTAAAAACTCAAGTGTATACTCACAATGACATCAAGAAGCACATGTATCTAATACCCAATTTTCCACTTGTTTCCAATATGGGAGAAAAGTCAACCATGATAAGTTTGCTATTTTCCGACATCTTAACATTTCCCTTCTGCTTAATCTCCTGAATCTAAGAAAGAATATTCTTTTATCAACAGAGGTAGAGACTATTTTAAGATGAACTCTGATAATCTCCGAGCCCAGGAGGAAGGGCCAGGAGGAAGTAAAGAGGAAGAATCCATGGGGTCATCTTCAAGGGCCCTAACAGCCCAGCCTTGGCCCAGGTCATCGATTATATGCAGTGATTTGAAACAGGGTTAGTGGGGGAGAGGGGATCCACTTTGACCTGGGAGCTCTTGACTGGGTTTCCCATATTGGCATTGCCATGGTGCCAAGCTGAGCATTCAGACCAAAAGTGACTTGACAGTGAGTTGAACTACAGGATTGTTCTGTGTGGATACTCCTCAATCCTGCCCACAAGGCTAGGAAGAACTTGATCATTTTGTCTCCCAGAGGAGATGATAGAGCAAATGATTTCCCATAAGCCCTTGCAATCAGTCATAGCAGCCAAAGGTACCCCACAGAGCGTATTTTCTTACCTGAAAGATGATTAGTGTTAGTCCCAAAGGATATATTTTTTAAGAGCTTGTTTTACATTCAATGTAATGCATACATTTAGTTTCATTCCCCATTCACCATGTCCAACCCTAACCCAGTCTCCTCCCCTCCCTGTAACCCTTCCCCTGTGCCCCTCATATTTATGCACTCCTATTTGTCCTGCATTTCCTCAGTTTGAGTGTTGGTCCTCTGGTGTCCCATGGTCTATTGCTCTAAGGGATGTATTACCATAGAGTATGTGGGTGTGTCATCCTGGGTTGAATGGTCTGCATGTACATCTTGTTAACTATTGGGCTGAGAGCCTGCCCCAGGGGATGCGTTTTATTCCAGGCACAGAATGTATTCCAGGGCCATATTATTGGGAGTCTCACCAGATTTAATCTGACCAGTAATTCTGGTCATTATTGAGTTTTTGGATTTTGTTCCACTTTTCCCCTCCCACTCTAAAAGGATATATTTTTAAAGGAAATCTTTTCCATGCAAGATGCTGAAATGTATTTTGTTCCTTATTCCATTGTTGTTACATATGCCATTTACTCCCAATCTCTGATATATTTCTTTGTTTTCTGTGTGTTGCAGGCAGCATAGTATACCTCGGGATGATGGTGGGGGCATTCTTCTGGGGAGGACTGGCAGACAAAGTGGGAAGGAAACAGTCTCTCCTGATTTGCATGTCTGTCAACGGATTCTTTGCCTTCCTTTCATCGTTTGTCCAAGGTTATGGCTTCTTTCTCTTCTGTCGCTTACTTTCTGGATTCGGGTAAGCTTTTCTCCTTCATATTTTATGATAATACATTTACTTTCCATAATTGTACATGTTCTCCACTTAAAGCACCTCATTACCAAGAAATGCTCGCTTAACACATCTTCTCTGTATTTGTGTCAGCCTTAAGAGCCATAATTCTGGTTCTTAAAAATGTAATTATCTACCTTTAAATCCAGAAATGATTTATTATTTGAAACCACCATTGTAAAAAGTCAAGAAAAGGTTTTTACATGGAAAGAAATATTATTGGATGGCTACCAGGGGTGGGAGGTGGGGGGAGGTTAAACCACTAACCAGAGGATAGACACGTAGTAACTTGCTTGAAGGGGAAGGCAATATATCACAAGAAGGAGATCAGCACAAAATAAATAAATAAATCCGAAAGAGAAGGGAGCACACCCTATGTTATTCTGGCTGACTGTTTTAGTGATTTACTTCTAAGAAATGAGTTGCATAGAATGCTGTTTCTGTACCAGAACTTATTCATAAATGTATCTTCCTTCTGCAAATTTAAGCAAGAAATAGCTCTGTTCCTACCATTTATGAAGTAATTACAGTTTCAAACCATTCAGGCATACTCTTAAATCCAGGCTTAGAGTGTCTCAAGTAAATGTTGCTTTATTGATCTATGCCAACTTAGCATATTTAATTAGGGGGGAAGCCTGCTTCTTGAAATGTAATATTTCTTTTTCTGTAAGTTCCTGAATTCTGTTGAATTAATCCACATTTTGCTATTAACCAAGTGCAATGACATAATATATCCAATGGTGCAATCATTTTCTTTAAAGAACTTGTAGCGCATTTACTAAGTGAATTCACAAGCTCAGGAAGACCCAACAGCTATGATAGGAGAGTATGAGGAACTCTGCTTTAATAAGGAGAAAAAAATAGTAAAAATATGAAATTTTCTATTTATACTGGAAAATTTTATTTTAATTTTTTCTGAGGTATCTAGCATAAGAAGAATCTAAAGGAATAATATAAAATGGAAAAAAAATGCAGACAATGAAGGAGACAGGCCTGAGTTATGGATTTGAGAAGCCTTTCCCTTATGGTTGGTGATGATAGTGATACCTACACAGCAGAACACAGCTTTGCCAAAAGAGAAGATCAGAGAACTACAGTGTGTCTTTCTTAATTACATCCAGTAGTGCGTTAAAATCAGAGCTGAGACTAATAGTAATATGAGGGATTAGGGAGAAATATCATGTACCCAGATTACTTCCAGAGTACAAAGATTCTATTTGTAGACTAACTGATCACTTTCATAATTCATTCAAAATAGTTTTAATTTTTATATCATTTTCCTGCTACAATATTTGTACACATAATGACATTGGTTGATTATGCACAATTTTTTTTTTGTATTCTATCTTGCAATCTCCAGAATCCTTTCTGTCACCCAACCCATATTTTCCAGCTCTGGTAGCATAGTGCCTAAGGCACTTGACTGCTAACCAGAAGGCTGGTGGTTAAAACCCACCAGCCACTCCTCAGAAGGAAGGTTGGGCATTCCTACTTCTGTAGTGATACTGCCTCGGACACCCAAGGAGGGGTCGCTATGAGTCGGGGCCGACTCGATGGCAAATAACAACAATAAAAGTCCTTCTTTGTTTCCAATTTTTGCATTCCAATCCCCAGTAATTATCAATGCATCTTGATTGCATATTTGATCAATTTCAGACTGCATAAATTAGTAAAAATCTTTAATTTCTTCATCTTTATCATTAGTGGTTGGTGTGTAAATTTGAAAAATAGTTGTATTAAGTGGTCTTCCTTGTAGCGTATGGATATTTTCTTAGTCTGGGTTCTCTAGAGAAGCAAAATCAGTGAACCCTGTTGTTTTGGTTAGCTGGTGCTGCTCTAACAGAAGATACACCACAAATGGGATAGCTTTAACAAACAGGAGTTTATTCTTTTATAGTTTGGAGGCTTTGAGTCCAAGTTCAAAGTGCCAGGCTCTAGGGGATAGGTGAAAGCCTCTCAGCCTAGGGCTTCAGCTCTGCCACTTGCTCATGGCCCACTGAAGGTGGAGGCTTTTCTTCACTCAGACAGCTGCTGGTTGCTGAGGCTGACAAGCCCAAGGTTGACAAGTAAAAAGACACAGTTCCAATGTTACCAAACAACATGGCAGGCCCCTAATTCAAGTCCAGAAGAAGTCCCAAGATCGGCAGAGCATGGCAGTCTGTTGAACAACGACTTGGCTATATGCAGGGTTCAAGCATGCCATCAGCTAGAGACCATTCCCAAATCTGCTTCTTATATCCTGGAAGCAGACCACATCCCTAAAGCAGCTACTCAGCTGCTTCAGTAGATTCCACTATGGAGTTAATTATCAATCTCACCATGGGGAATAACTACATCCAGCTGCCCAGCCTCTCAACCAGGCCCAGCCAAGTTGACACACAAACTTAACTACCACATCTATGTATTAAAAAAATAAAAATAAAAACCACTGCCAACTCATAGCAAACCCCATTGGGTTTCCAAGATGGTAAATCTTTATGGGAGTAAATTGCTCTATCTTCCTTTCATGGAACAGCTGGTGGGTTTGAACTGCTAACCTTATGGTTAGCAGTCAAATGCTTTGGGCACTGCAACACCAGAGTGCTCGCTCTCTCTCTCTCTCTTTCTATTTAGAGAGAGAGAGAGCGATGAAAGGGTGGGGGGATTTTTGTCTCAAGGAAATGGCTCACAGAGTTGTACATGCTGGCAAGTCCTAAGTCCATGGATCTGGCATCAAGCTGGAGGCTTCTCTTTACTCACATAGTTGCAGTGGCTGACAAATCCAAGATCAACAGGTCAGATGGCAGACTAGTGGCTCACAGGTTACAGAGGTTGACAAATCCCAAGAACTGGAGGTCAGATAATGATGAGCCAGGTGCAGGATCCAGAGCAAGCAAACAAGCTTTGCCAGAATGTCCATATATATGTATATATATATATATATATATATATATATCTTGCAAGCCACACCCTGGAGGAAACTGCCCTTACAACTGATTGGCTGATCATATCAGATTACATCATTATATAACTGCCAAACAACTGAGAATCCTGGCCCCAGCCAAATTGGCACACATTAACTATCACAGATATTATCCTATCACTGACAGTGTTGAACTTCAGGATAGGTCTTGAAATGTTCTTTTAAATGATGAATGTAATGCTATTCCTCTTGTCGGTTTCCAGAATATTAGACCATATGATTGTCCAATTCTATTTCAGCTTGTTAATGCCTAGGATATTAATCTTTGTGCATTTCATTTCATTTTTTACAACTCATAATTTCCCCAGATTCATACTTGGTACATTCTGCATTCAGATTATTAATGGGTATTTGCAGCTGTTTCTTCTCATTTTGAGTCAAGTCACAGCAGCAAATGAAAGTCCATAAAGCTTTACTTAATGCACATAATTATGGTCAACTGTACTGTGAGGAGGCAGCTCTTCCCCACTGTATTTTGAGTGCCTTCCAACCTGAGTGGCTCATCTTCACTGCATCACACAGTGTTCCACTACCACTCATGCAGTTTTAATTGGCCAGAGTTTTTAGAAGTAGAGCACCAGATCATTCTTCCCAGTCTATCTTAGTTTGGAAGCTCTGCTGAAACCTGTCCACCATGAGTGATCCTGCTGGTATTTGAAATACCAGTGGCATAGCTTCCAGCCTCACAGAAACACACAGGCTGACCCAGTATGACAAACTGACAGACGAGTGGTGAGAAAACTCAGTTAAGCTCCATAAACTTGATACCAGAGGGTAAAACACTATGTCTTTGTGAAGTGACATGGGACTGGGAGTTAAGAAATCTAAGTCTATTGTCCCCTTCCTTTCACCATGGGGCTTTGGGAAAGCCTCACAGGCTCTTCAGTCTGATTTTTTGTTTGTGAAATGGAGGTAGTAGTACTTTACACTCCTATCTTGGAACATGAGGATCAAATAAGACATCGTATTGTTGTGCCCAGGTTATGAAGGAGTTGTTGGGCGCGAGGAATTTGCCAACACACGACAATGCAAAAGCAATAGGAAAGTTTATTAGCTAACTTAAGTTAGGGTCCTTGCTCTCACCAAATCAGTGGCTTGAGCAAAAGACCCTGTGCTCTTACATTAAAACAAATTTATAGAAGAATATGGGGTGGAGTAGATAATTTGGTTTTTAGGACAGGGGTTTGGGAATTTGGGGGCAGGTTGGAATCTCCCGGTTTCAAAGGTGAGTGAGAGATTTTTCGGGCCGGCGGATCTCTTTGATATGTGCATACTCCCTGCGAAATCCAAAATCGAAATCTGGGAGGTAAGAGCCCTCGGAGTCTTCAAAGGTGGGCGAGAGGCTTTTTGGAGCCATGCAGATTTCTGATAAAAGGCTCTGAGGTATGGGACGTTTTAATCTCTATACTACAGGCATTAGGGCTCAGCATGGGATGTGTCAATCTCCATACTAAAGGCTTCTGGTTAAAAGATCTTTCAGGCCCCACAGTATTAAAAAATGTGGCAGACTCCTAGGTATATACCCACAAGAAATGAAAATATATATCCACAGAAAAATTTGTGTATGTGTGTTTGCTAGCATCATTACTCACAATAGCCAAAAGGTGGAAATAGCCCAATGTCCATCAACTAATGAGTTGTAAACAAAATTTTACTATATATACGCACACACATGCAATGGAATATTTATCTATCAAAAGGAGTCAAGTACTAATACAAGCTGTAATGATGAACCAGGATGAAACTTGAAAACATTATGCTAAGTGAAAAAAAATCCAATCACAAAAGACCATGTATTGTATGGTATTTATATGAAATGTCCAGCATAGGCAAATCTATCCAGACAGAATGTAGATTATTGCTGTTCAGGACTGTATGGTGACAGAGTTGAGAGGGTGATAGCTTAAGAGTATAGGGTTTCCCTTTGAGATGATGCAAATGTTCCAAAATTGACTGTAGTGATGGGTGCATATATCTATGAATAAATTAAAAAACATTCAGTTAT